TGTAAAGCGGCGGATGGCAGGTGACTCTAATTATTCCAACACTCTTTCTGATTTCAGATAGTGGTGTTCTATGATATTCATTTGAAGAATCTAGACTCAATGACTAATGTCAACCAAACAAAAAAAGAGAGACTTATATAATATGTAGATATATAGCAAGAATCTTTGAAATGTTTACTTATATTTACAACATTGATGGAGAAAAAAAGAGAGTGAGAGTAGAACCTAGAAAATCGGTGGCAATGAGGCCATCAAACAGCATTATTCTCTATGTTTACGGTATCAGCATAAGGTCACCTCCAGAGCCGGTTCTGACATGGTGCAAGTGGTGCATTTGCACCATGTTCAACTGATTTTTTCGATTTTTTACATGGATTTTATTGCACATTTTTAAAATATAGGAGTTTTAAAAAAATATTATTAAAATTTAGGGGGTTTTTTGCAATTTTTGGCAATTTTTGCACTATGTTTGTTTTGTAATTGGGCCGGACCTGGTCACCTCCTCCGAAGTTCTCTATAGAGTCTCTCAAAAGTATAAAAATAAAAAATAATGCAAAAGACAGAAAAAGTATGAGAGGCGAATCTGTTCTCAATAAACCTCACACAACTTTTGTAACAACCTCACTTGAGAAGTGGAGAAACATGATTGGCTATATTTTTTTTATATACATTAACATTTAAATAAATATCTAAACAATATTGTTATTAATAATTTAATATACATGAGAACCTCCTTTGAATTTATTAAGCTTAGTTGAACACATTACTATAATATATCGATTCCTCCTGCACATTTAAAAAAAAAAAAAATTTAAATTTGGCCATATAAGTTTACAAATCCATTGTGAGGTGAGCTAAAAATTTATTGTAAATTACCAAAGAAGAGAGAGAGGGAGAATAGCAGTTTCATTAGATAATACACTTCAAGATTCTAAGCAAAATTTTCTCTTTTTTTTTTTGTTAAGAAGAAAAAGAAAGGGAGAGTATGTGGAAGAGAGAATTTTGAGGATTGAAATTGAAGTATTCTTACTAACGTCTTTGTGGCTTTATATAAACTGTTGCTCAAAGTGACTTAATCTTGGTTATCCTTCTCATAGAGTGAGACAGAAAGCACGAAATATAAGAGCAGAGTGAACAAGTTTTATCAACTATCTAATAGACAAAGTCTTTATTCTTAAACACACAATACACAGAGAGAGGCACAAAACCATGCAAACACAAATGGAAGAAGACATACTCAAAAGACGGAGAGATAACAAATATAAGATAAGAAACCATTGAAGTAAATTTCCCTATACGTACATTTCGGTTTTTTAATTCTAAGAAATGCTTTTACGGTTTAATCAAAGACGCCGTTAGATTGTTTCCTAAAACTGAGTAAACCGATTTCCATCCTTCCTGAGTAGGGTGAAGTCCATCCCAGAAGAAAGCAGACTTAGGATCCTCACATAAGGTATACTTCTTCACACCTTTCTCGTCTACATTCGCACAACTGCCTTCGCAACACGGTTTCAACGGGGTTTCAAACCTCGTACTCCCTGCATTTCAATAACCCCTATCACACGAAAGCCTTTAAAATAAGGCTTTTAAATATTTAACGATCAAAATGTTTAACTTTTGTTACCTGGATTCTCTCCTTTGTTCTTGAAAACGGTCAAAAAGGCATTGTAGTAATCAAAGATGGCGAAAGTGGAAGGCTTGGTCTCATTGTTCAGCTTGGTCACTACTTGCTCCAACAAGCTGTTGTGGTATATCACCAACGCGTTAAAAGTGTCGTTGCAACCCTGAAAGGAGGTGGAGAGGACGTAACGTGGGAGGCATCCCAGCGGCTGGAGCGATGGTATTGCTATCTTTTTAACTCCCAATGCATGGATTCGCCTCAAATTCACCTCGGTTTGATCCACGACTTGCTTGATGAATGCTGGGAGGGCCTATAAGATGCAATAGAGGTAAAAATGAGTAATTCAGTGAAACAAAATGCACACACTGGACCACTACAATTATATAACTTAAAAATATAGTAAGATTTAAAAGATATCTTTGATATTTTTAAATATATTCTTTTGTAAAACGAAAAGTGGTATTTTTATCTACTCTACCATTAGCTTGATTGGAAAACTACCAAAAACAAAACCTAGAAGTATTTTCTTACAGCGATGGAGCGGTTTTGGGCAAGGTAATTAGAGTAGTCGTTGCCCGCAACGCTGACAAGAGCAAGGGAAGAAGAAAGGTCGGATTGAGAGTAGACATCGCCGAGTAGCTGCTTGAATAAATCGATCTGAATGGTCATGTTGGGACTTGTACTCTGAGTGTTGAACACTCCTGTTCCTCCGTACGCAAAATTCATTCCGTACTTTAACGATTCCTTTCCCGCGTAGTCTTTGAAGAGGTAAGTAATGGGTGATTTTATCCTCAACAATCTGGCTGCACGTATTCACCAACATGTTTGTATGTTCATTAAAAAGATGTTTCAATATAAGAAGTATCATATTATCAAGTGTTCTCTTACTACTAACTTTCA